GTAATATTTTTCAAGTATAACTAAAAATTATATATTTCAAAATTAAACTAAAACTTTTATAAATTTTCAAATATATCTAAAAATTGTATATATTTAAAGATTAACAAAAAATTGTATATATTTTTTAAAGTATAAACTAAAATTTTATTTTTTCAAAGTATATACAAAACTTTTTATAATTTTTTAATAAATCTAAAACTTGTATATATTTTCAAAAGTAATACTAAAACTTGTAAATTTTCAAAGTATAACTAAAACTTGTAATAAAATTTCAAATAACTAAAACTTTATTATTTTTCCCAAAAAAATACAAAACTTTATAAAAAATTTTCAAATTTAAAACAAAACTTGTATATATTTTTTAAAGTATATACTAAAACTTTTAAATTTTTTAAAATAATACTAAAACTTGTATATATTTTTAAAAAATACAAAACTTGATAATTTTCAAAGTAATACTAAAACTGTATATATTTTCAAAGAATACTAAAAATTTTATTTTTCAAAGTAATACGAAACTTGTAATATTTTCAAAGTAAATTTCAAAACTTGTATATATTTTCAAAGTATATACAAAATTTATTTATTTTTAAAGTAAACTAAAACGTAAATTTTCAAAGTTATACTAAAACGTAAAAAATTTCAAAGTAAATACTAAAACGTTATATTTTCAAAGTATATACAAAACTTTTATATAAATTTTTAAAGTTAAACTAAAAAATGTAAAATTATTTTCAAAATAAACTAAAACTTGTATTTATTTTTCAAAGAATACAAAAAATTGTTTATTTTCAAAGTTAACTAAAACTTTTATATTTTTTCAAAGATATCTAAAACTTGTATATTTTTCAAAGTAATACTAAAACTTTTATATATTTTCAAGTAAATACTAAACTTGTATTTTTTTTCAAAGAATACAAAAAATTTTAAATTTTCAAAGTAAAAACTAAAACTTGAAAAATTTTTCAAAGTAATACTAAAACTTGTATAATTTTCAAAGTATATACTAAAAAATTTTATATATTTCAAAGTATATACAAAATTGTAAAAACTTCACTGACAGGAACTTTTTTATCTTCTCCCCCTGAAAAAGAAAATTTTTTGTTTTTCATTCATTCACGGGTTTTTTCTGGCGCCAATGCCACAGTGATCGAAAGGTAATATGGGGGAGGGAAACCCCCCAAACTCTGACCATCCATGATGCCCAAAATTTTCCCCCGCCCTGTACACCTCCTGGCTCCCTCCCCTGTAAGGTTTTTTTTTTTATTTACACTTGGATATTTACAAGGTTGGGTTAAAAGTTCCCTTCAGTTTTATTTTAAAAATTTTATTTAGACCATAATGAACTTGACTTTTTTGGGTTTTCCCGGTGGGTATTTACACTATGTATGGTAATTGTACTTTTGGGGGACCTGAACTTACTTTCAAAAAGAATAAAATTGGGGGCAAAGTGGGCCATGAATTTTATTTGGTAAAATGGGTTTATTGCAGTTATTTATGTTATTTTTACGAACATGTTCCAAATTTAAAATCCCCTGAAATAAATGATCCAGAAAGAAGGGTTGCCCGAGTGTGTTGCTGCTTGCTCCCCCTCTTGTGGTGTAAAACTCACTTCTTTCCCTCCTTTGGGGGAGGTCTTTTACAATTGGCCTACCATAACAGAAAGGCAACCCCTATCCCCCGGGGTGGAAGGCCCGCTGAAATTATGGATCGTCCCGCGGGCAGACAAAGAAAGTTCTTCTCTGTTCCTATTCTGTCGGGGAAACACAGATGAACATGGGGCAACAAACAAAGAAATGGGGCATACTCATGGTATAAGCAGTCTTCCTCATACAGATCTTTCACCCACTGTTAGATCAAATTTTGCCCAAGGATTCAACCTCATCCCCGGGGCCATCACCTCCCCTTCATTCTACCGCTGCTCCACATTACTATCAGGGGGTTCTGGGGACCATCACGTGTTTTCTTTAAAACAAATGAACCCGCCATCATTTTCCTAACCGTATAAATTTTAAAGCTGGTGATTGATTAACTTAGAGCAGCCATTTTCCCCTTTCCCGCATAAGTGAATTTTGAGAATCACCCTATACATGGGATTGTAGGGAAATTGAAGGCATTGATATAAAAATTTTCCCAAAAGGAAAACAAACAAACACACTTCCCTTGGGAACTGGCACTAGTAGGTGGCTTTTATCTGTTCCACTCACAAAATGCTTTTTAAATCTACCCCTTAGAACTAACTTAGGAAAAACCTTGAAGGTAAACACGAGAAGGCATAGTGAGAACTAGCTTAATTTCCTTGCTTGCATTTTGCCAAATCCCTGTTGCCAACTCCCCGTGGAAGGTAGCAATGTCCCAGTGCTTTTACACAGCTACTGGGAAACATCTAGTGACGGCCACAAAGTGGGGGAAGTTTAAAACAGAAACACAAAGGTACCTTTTTTGAAACCATATTGACGGTCAAAAGTAGTGATGGTGGAAAAACTTTTTATCGTTGTAGGTTTTTGTCCCAGAATCTTTTCCCTGATTGACAAGAAAACACAAGTCTGTGGTTTTTTATTTCCATTCTGCTCTTCTTTTTGTGAACATCTACTCAGCAATCTTGGGCTCACATTTCTGGACCCACAGCTTTTGTTTTTCTCTCTGCCTATACTCACCTATTTGTAATTCTCATTTCCTTAAATATGGACTTCGTTTCCGCTAATAGACATACTGTGGTCTCTAAATAGATAATCATATACGAAAAACCACATACTGATTATTATTATTATTATTATTATTATTATTATTATTATTATTATTATTATTATTATTATTATTATTATTATTATTATTATATTATTATTATTATGATTATTATTATGATAATGACGATGATGATGATGTTGGCTATTACAGAGAGGTTCACCATCACTGCCACACAGGATGCTGGCCATCTGTGACATCTCAGCAGATCCTGGAGGATCCATAGAGTTCATGTCAGAGTGCACCACCATTGACACGCCCTTCTGTCTCTACGACGCCGACCAGAATAAATACACTAACAGGTAAACAAGTAAGGATAGTGAAAGAAATAATGACAGACAGAGTTAGTGGCTTTCTTTCTACTTAACAATATTCTATAACATATAAGTCACACATTGTGATTAATATTGTGGAACCCTGTTACAGCTTCAAGGGCCCCGGGGTACTGATGTGCAGCATAGACAACATGCCCACACAGCTGCCCAGGGAAGCCACGGATTCGTTCGGTTCTCAGCTGTTGCCTCACATGTATGACATCTTGCAGTCTGATGCCTCAAAGCCCCTCGAGGAGCAGTCGTTCACCCACGAAGTTCATGGGGTCAGTCTTTTGATGTTCAGTTATTAAATTCATGTAAGTCTGACTGACCTTGGCTGCAAGACTGACTGTAGATCTGACTGACCTTGGCTACAAGACTGACTGTAAGTCTGACTGACCTTGGCTACAAGACTGACTGTAGATCTGACTGACCTTGGCTACAAGACTGACTGTGAGTCTGACTGACCTTGGCTACAAGACTGACTGTAAGTCTGACTGACCTTGGCTACAAGACTGACTGTAAGTCTGATTGATCTTGGCTTCAAGACTGACTGTAAGTCTGATTGGCCTTGGCTACAAGACTGACTGTAAGTCTGACTGACCTTGGCTACAAGACTGACTGTAAATTCGACTGACCTTGGCTTCAGACTGACTGTAAGTCTGATTGACCTTGGCTTCAAGACTGACTGTAAGTCTGATTGACCTTGGCTTCAAGACCGACTGAAAGTCTGATTGACCTTGGCTTCAAGGCTGACTGTAAGTCTGATTGACCTTGGCTTCAAGACTGACTGTAAGTCTGATTGACCTTGGCTTCAAGACTGACTGTAAGCCTGATTGACCTTGGCTTCAAGACTGACTGTAAGTCTGACTGACCTTGGCTACAAGACTGGCTGTAAGTCTGACTGACCTTGGCTACAAGACTGACTGTAAGTCTGATTGACCTTGGCTTCAAGACTGACTGCAAGTCTGATTGACCTTGGCTTCAAGACTGACTGTAAGTCTGACTGACCTTGGCTACAGGACTGTAAGTCTGATTGACCTTGACTACAAGACTGGCTGTAAGTCTGACTGACCTTGGCTACAAGACTGGCTGTAAGTCTGACTGACCTTGGCTACAAGACTGACTGTAAGTCTTGAATGACCTTTACCTGGAGTTTACCTGGAGAGGTTTTTGGGAGCTAATGCCCCCGCAGCTCGGTCTAAGCCAAGCCCTCATAGTGGATCAGGTATCGATCAACCAGGCTGTTACTGCCGGCCACACACGAACTGACGTACGACCCACAGCCCGGTTGGTCAAGTGCTACTGACTCTAGGTGCCTGTCCGTTGCCTTATTGAAGACATCCAGGGGTCTATTGGTAAACCCCCTTATGTATGTTGGGAGGCAGTTGAACAGTCTTGAGCCTCGGACACTCATTGTGTTGTCTCTCAGTGTACTCATGGCGCCCCTGCTTTTTATTATGGGAATGTTGCATCTCCTGCCGAGTCTTTTGCTTTCATAGGGAGTGATTTTCTTGTGGGGGTTTGCAATCTATCATTCTACGACCTTTCAAGTGTATATTATAATGTATTTCTCTCTCCTGCGATCCAGGGAATACAGGTCAAGGACCTTCAACCGTTTCCAGTAATTTAGGTGCCTTATCATGCTTACGTGTGCTGTGAAAGTTCTTTGTACACTCTCCAGGTCTACAATGTTTCCAGCCTTGAAGGGGGCCATTAGTATACAGCAGTATTCCAGCTTAGAGAGAAAAAGCGATTTGAAGAGAATCACCATGGGTTTGGCATCCCTAGTTTTGAAGGTTCTCTTTATCCATCCTATCATTTTCCTAGCAGGTGTGGTAATTACACTGTTGTGGTCTTTGAGGGCGAGATCCTCTGACATTATGACTCCCATGTCCTTCACATTAGTTTTTCGCTCTATTGTATGGTTAGAAATTGTCATGTACCCTGATACATTTTTAATTTCCTCATGTTTTCCATATCTGAGTAATTGAAATTTCCCCTCGTTGAACTTCATATTATTGTGAATGGCCCATTTGACGATTTGATTGATGTTTGCTTGGAGTCTTGTGGTGTCTTCGATGGAGGTCACTGCCATAGCAATCCGGGTGTCATCCGCAAAGGAAGACACAGAGCTATGGCTTACATCTCTGCCTATGTAAGAAATGAGGATGAGGAATAGAATGGGAGCGAGTACTGTGCCTTGAGGGACGGAGCTTTTCACCGTGGCTGCCTGTGACTTTACTCTGTTTACTATTACTATTTGTGTTTGTTTGCTAGGAAGCTATAGATCCATCTACCAACTTTTCCTGTTATTCCTATATAATGCATTTTGTGTGCTATAACACCATGGTCACACTTGTCGAAAGCTTTTGCAAAGTCTGTGAATACTACATCTGTATTTTGTTTATCCTTTACAGCATCCAGGACCTTGTCATAGTGGTCCAGTAGCTGGGACAGGCAAGAGCGACCTGCTCTAAACCCGTGTTCTGTAATTGATGGGTATCTAGGTGGTAGGCTATCTTGCTTCCTAGAACCCTCTCAGAGATTTTTATGATATGGGATGTTAGTGCTATCGGTCTGTAGTTCTTTGCAATTGCTTTACTGCCACCTTAGTAGAGTGGGGCTATGTCTGTTGTGTTTAGTGTGTGTGGGATGACCCCTGTATCCATGCTTCCTCACAATAGAAGACTGAAGGCAAGCAACATGGGCTTCTTGCAGTTCTTGAAGAACACGGAGTTCCATGAGTTTGGGCCTGGGGTAGAGTTAATAGGAATGTCATTTATTACCTTTTCAAAGTCTTGTGGATTTACGATAATACCCGAGATTTTTGAGATGTCCAGATTTTGGGTTTCGTTCATAAAGAATTAATTTGGATTGTCGACCCTTAATCTGGCCAGTGGCTCGCTGAACACTGAGTCGTTTTGGGACTTTAGTATCTCCCTCATTTCATGGCTGTCATTTGTGTGTCCCATCCCACCTAAGTAGGGGCCCAATACTGGATGTTGTTTTCCCCTTAGGTTTGGCATAAGAGATGAAGTATTTTGGGTTTGTATCAATTTCCTCTATGACTTTTAGTTCTTCCTGTTATTCTTCTTTCCTGTAAGATTCCTTGAATTTAAGTTTGATATTTGCATTTTCATTGACTAGTGCCTCCCTTCATATTTAAGATATATCGACCTCACTCAGCAGCTCTGTGACACTTTGCTTTCGTCTGCATAGGGAGCATCTCTCTCTTTCTAGTTTACATCTTCTCTTTCTTTTTCTTAATGGAATGTGTCTTGAGCAGATCTTAAGAACCACAAAGTTCATTTTTTTTCGGCCAAAAAAAAGACCGAAATCCGATTTGGTCAATATCCGCACCAGCTGATATAGGGGGGGGGGGGGTCCACTGCATATCAGAATAATTTGTCTCAAATTTCTGATATGAAAATAACACGAAAGAAATATAAGTATGAGTTAAAGTAGTGTACAACAAGCTGTGATTCTCACCTCTATGTGCATATTAAATTTTTTTTTTAAATTCTTTGTATTTGTTTTGTATTGATTTTTTTTCAATTTCATTTTTTTGTCAAGGCATACATTAGATGTATTTCTTAATGTATATGATTTACAAATATTCACATATATGAAAATATATCTTGTATTTTTAAGGCCAACTGAAGCATATTGTATTGCACAGCACTAGATATAACAGTTAACTTGATCAAAGTACAATATTGCCCTGGTATTCACGGGGGATATGTTATATTAGTTATTTTTCATTTACATACATACCTATGATAAAATTTAATTGATAAATTATTCACAATAAGTAGAAAATTATCACTTTTCACTGACGACTTCAGGCTGCCACCATCACTACTTTTGTGCTTTGTGGCTATTATTAAGCAAAATTAAGAGTTATTTTTGGACCATGGTCAACCGTGGATATCTGAATCTGCAGTGACCAAATCTGCAGATACAGGGGTTCATGTAGTATCTGCACACCTCTGGCAAGACAGTGATGGAGTGAGCTATGGTCAAATTGTTTCTTCTTTTTTGGGTCACCCTCCCTCGGTGGGAACTTGCCGATGTGCTAAAAAAAAAAATACCAGGATCAAGGTTTGAACCTTCCACCCAGTCATCTGTTCATTCACAAATGTTTTATTGGAATTTCTTTCAGGCCTTTATAACCAGCGGTGGTAGACTAACTCCGAATTTTGAATACATTGCTGATCTTCGAGCCCAGAGAAGGTAAATAACTCCAGGGTAGTTGTTTTGTTGTTAATTCTATGGATATTGTCATTCAGAAAAGCATTTACAGCCTTGGTATTTTGACTTGTTCCAGTCATGGTATTGCGACTTGTTCCAGCCATGGTATTATGATTTACAGCCTCTCCTCACTTAGCGATGTACTCGTTTACTAACAACTCGGACTTGCGACGGGCTCTCTGACCAGTATTCATACCTAAGTCATGTATATTAGAGCTGATTTCCTCTGTTTTATACAATATACAGTACACTACTGCATAAATATTTAAAAATATACCAGAGATGTTTTTAATAGTGTAAAGGTGACATTAAAACAATATCAAAGATGGTTGACACAAACCCACTACCATTACAGTATGCTTCTCACTTAGCAACAAATTCGTTTACCAGCGTGGTCTTAGGAAGGTAATTCCGTCGTTAAGTGAGGAGAGGCTGTATGTGTCAATTGTTGGAGCCATGTATTTATTTATTTATTAATTGTTCCTGCCATGGTATTTATTTGTTAATTGTTCCAGGCACGGTATTGTTACTTATAAACATTATGTATTTGCCTGACATGGATCTCAAGTAACTTCTGTTATCTTTCTTGCAGAAAGTGTGTGTGTGGAGAAGTGACCAAGGACTGACCTACTGGGGTTCATGTGAAGCGTTAGTGAGGACTGAGGCACAGCTTGGAGTACTAGCTGAAAGAAGCCAGGCAACGAGTTGGGTTCGAATTCACGGCGAGTGAGTCTTTAACCCCACGTCGTGGGTTCAGATCCCACCTGTTCTGTGGTTTGTTCATGTTATGATTTTTGTGAGTCGGTACTGGCTGTGAGTGCTGCAGCTTTCTCTGTAGAGCTCTATCACCCAAAGCTTTACACAGAGTGTTGTTTCAAAGCTAGTTCTTCAAGCTGTGGTTCTTCCTCATACTGGGCTATCATAATCTTTAGAGAGCTCTAGTTATCATGAGTAGTCTTAGAGAGCTATAGTTATGAGGGGTAGTCTTAGGGAGCTCTAGTTATCATGGGTAGTCTTAGAGAGCTCTAGTTATCATGGATAGTCTTAGGGAGCTCTAGTTATCATGGGTAGTCTTAGAGAGCTCTAGTTATCATGGATAGTCTTAGGAAACTCTAGTTATCATGGGAAGTCTTAGAGAGCTATAGTTATTGTGGGTGTCTTATAGAGCTCTAGTTATAATGGGTGGTCTTAGAAAGCTCTTTTTATCAAGTAGTCATAGAGAGCTCTACTTAATGTGAGCTTTGGCAAGGGTAAGACAGTGTCTACCCTATTAACCTGCTGTGTGTGTGGGTGTGTGTGAGTGTGTGTGTGTGTGTGTGTGTGTGTGTTTGTATTGGTAGTGTTACATTGTAACTGCTGTCACTATTCACCTAGCAGTAAGTAGGCTCCTGGGTGTAAGTCACCTTACACTTACTGTCACTATTCACCTAGCAGTAAGTAGGCTCCTGGGTGTAAGTCACCTTACACTTACTGTCCCTATTCACCTAGCAGTAAGTAGGCTCCTGGGTGTAAGTCACCTTACACTTACTGTCCCTATTCACCTAGCAGTAAGTAGGCTCCTGGGTGTAAGTCACCTTACACTTGCTGTCCCTATTCACCTAGCAGTAAGTAGGTACCTGGGTGTAAGTCACCTTACACTTGCTGTCACTATTCATCTAGCAGTAAGTAGGTACCTGGGTGTAAGCTGATTGTTGTGGGTGGCCTCCTGGGCTAGATGAAACGTATAGGTAAGTCACCTAACACCTGCTGCTGCTGCCGTGCTCAAGTAGCAGTAAATAGGAACCCGGTAGCTTCAAGAATCATTTAATTTATTCCACTACAGTGGAACCCTTGAACAAACTAGAGTCCAAACAATTTTGTTCATAAGATATGACCCGGTCTTTGAACATTTTTCTGAAGTCTGACTTGTTCAAGATTCAGTTGAATAAAAACTTAAGAGGAAAGCCCAGTTTCAAAAATACTTTAAAGTGAACACTGATCTGACTCTCAAAGACTTTTGCAAGAGTCAGTTCAACATCCTGCAGTGTGTGAGGCTGGTAAAGCCTGGCAAATACCGTTTCCCATATCCAACTTTTCGCAGTTCTAACATCACCAATTAAGTTCAAACACTTGGGCTTCCACTGTATATACACTTGGGAAAAAACGAAACAAAAAAAAAATAATGCATTCGATTACACATCAGCGGTGGGCACAGTTCTGCCAATCCGCTAACCACTAATTAACGGAAATAACTTTTTTAGTCCTGGAGAAGGGAAGTACAGTGTCTGAACTCTGAAGGAGGGGTGTTAATGTTGCAGTTTTATAACTGTAGTGTAGACATGCCTCTGGCATGACAGTGATGGAGTGAATGATGATGAAAGTTTCTCTTTTTTGATCCAAGGTCTGTTGCCTCTTAACGTGCTGGTGACACCCCTGCTTTTCATTGGGGGAATGTTGCATCGTCTGCCAAGTCTTTTGTGAGTGATTTTCGTGTGCAAGTTCGGTACTAGTCCCTCTAGGATTTTCCAGGTGTATATAATCATGTATCTCTCCCTCCTGCGTTCCAGGGAATACAGGTTCAGGAACCTCAAGCGCTCCCAGTAATTGAGGTGTTTTATCTCCGTTATGCGCACCGTGAAGGTTCTCTGTACATTTTCTAGGTCAGCAATTTCACCTGCCTTGAAAGGTGCTGTTAGTGTGCAGCAATATTCCAGCCTAGATAGAACAAGTGACCTGAAGAGTGTCATCATGGGCTTGGCATCCCTAGTTCTGAAGGTTCTTATTATCCATCCTGTAAGTTTTCTAGCAGATGCGATTGATACAATATTATGGTCCTTGAAGGTGAGATCATCTGACATGATCACTCCCAGGTCTTTGACGTTAGTTTTTCGCTCTATTGTGTGGTTGGAATTTGTTTTATATCCCGATGAAATTTGAATTTCCTCACGTTTACCATTCGTGGTAATTGAAATTTCTCATCGTTGAACTTCATATTGTTTTTTGCAGCCCATTTAAAGATTTGGTTGATGTCCGCCTGGAGTCTTGCAGTGTCTTCAATGGAGGACACTGTCATGCAGATTCGGGTGTCATTTGCAAAGGAAGACACGACACTGTCTATGTCCGATATGAGGATGAGGAACAAAATAGGAGCGAGTACTGTGCCTTGCTGAGCAGAGCTTTTCACTGTAGCAGCCTCAGACTTTACTTTGTTCACTACTACTCTTTGTGTTCTGTTTACTAGGAAATTATAGATCCATCTGCCAACTTTTCCTGTTATTCCTTTAGCACGCATTTTGTGCACTATTACGCCATTGTCACACTTGTCGAAGGCTTTTGCAAAGTCTGTATACGTATATTACATCTGCATTCTGTTTGTCTTCTGTTGCATCGAAGACCTTGTCGTAGTGTTCCAGTAGTTGGGACAGACAGCAGCGACCTGCTCTAAACCCATGCTGCCCTGGGTTGTGTAATTGATGGATATATAGATGGGTGGTGATCTTGCTCCTTAGAACCCTTTCAAAGATTTTTATGACATGGGATGTTAGTGCTTTCTGTCTGTAGTTCTTTGCTATTTACTGTCTCCTTTGTGGAGTGGGACTATGACAAATCTATTTACTCCTGTGCAAGTCCCACTCATATCAAGCCCTTCTCATTCATGTATTTATCGAACCCAAACTTGAAACTAACACTGGATGACCCCCGTGTCCATGCTCCCTCTCCGTAGGATGTTAAAAGCACGTGATAGGGGCTTCTTGTAGTTCTTAATGAACACGGAGTTCCATGAGTCTGGCCCTGGGGCAGAGTGCATGGGCATGTCATTTATCGCCTGTCCGAAATCATATGGCATCAAGATAATATCGGAGAGGTGTGTCTACCAAATTCTGTTTCTCTCTCATAAAAAATTCAGTTAGATCATCGACTCTCAGTCTGGTTAGCTGCTCGCTAAAAACTGAGTCATGTTGGGACTTGAGTAGCTCACTCATTTCCTTGCTGTCATCTGTGTAGGACCCATCTTGTTTAAGTAGGGGCCCAATACTGGACGTTGTTCTCGACTTTGAATTGGCATAAGAAAAGAAATACTTCGGGTTTCTTGCAGTTTCATTTTTGGCTTCAATTTCTTTTTGCATTTCTTGACTCCTGTAAGATTCCTTTAGCTTTAGTTCGATGTTTTCTGTTTCTCTGACCAGTGACTCCCTACGTATTGCAGATATATTGGACTCTCTTATTCTTGGACTCTGTTATTCTTGGCCTTTGCTTGTAAAGGGAACGTCTTTCTCTTTCTAGTTTACATCTCCTATTCCTTAAGGGAATATGCCTTGAGCATACCTCAAGTGCGACAGAGGTAATTGTAGTGATACTGCTCCTGTGGGGAGCAGCAGCAGGATAATACTGCACCACCTCTCGGGGCCCTTAACAATAACAACAGCTTGGTGTGTGTCATGGGCGCCAACACATGGTGTGTGATTCTCTTCTCTTATATCCATATATTAGTGATGCAGATTACATGGTTAGTTTAAATATGTGGCCTGTAGTTATAACTTATCTCTTGACATATGCAAGACATCACCATCCCTGTAGAAGCCGTTATTAGATGTACTAGTCATTATATTTTGTTGTTGCAGAAGTACTATGAAGATTCTATGTTCAATAAAGCCTAGAGATAAGGCCTGTGTTTCTATCACAACAATTTATTGAACATAGAATCCCGGGCTACCTGGTGGGGAACCTGCGCTAGACTACATACAACATGAGGTTTACGAAACCTGAGAGGCTAGACTGTGACCCCCCTTATAAACGGCTGCTCAAATGGAAACACTGTTTTTTTTTTTTTTTTTATATTTTATTTAAAAAACTTTACAGCTTAATATTAAATAAAGATAATAAAATGGGTACAGTAGGATCCTCAATCCTACACAACATACACTAAAACAATCCTACACAACATACACTAACAATCCCTACACAACATACACTAACAATCCTACACAACATACACTAACAATCCTACACAACATACCACTAACAATCCTACACAACATACACAAACAATCCTAC